AATATTCAATTGCCTTTAGATATTTACCTAATAATTCATAAACAGTTCCTAAATTTGCATAAGCACGTCCTTCTCCCTGCTTGTTACAGATCTCTTTATCAATTCCTAGTTTCTTTTCAAAGTATTCCATGGCCTTGTCGCATTTCCCCAGAGATTTATAGGCATTCCCCAAGCTCATATAAGTAACTCCTTCACCAAGTCTGTTACCGATCTCTTTGAAAACGTTAAGGCTCTTTTCATGGTTTTCGATTGCCTTCTGATATTCTCCTAATGATGCATAGCCACTTCCTAGATTTACATAAGCTGCTGCTTCTTTATCTTTGTCGCCAATCTCTTTAGCAATACTTAGGCTCTTTTCTTGACATTCAATAGCGTTTTCATATTCCGCTATTGCAACATAGGTACTTCCTAAATTGCCATAACCGTTCCCTTCTAAACGTTTGTCAGTAATCTCTTCAGCGATGGTTAGACTCTTTAAGTAATATTCAATGGCCTTGTGATATTCTCCTAGTGATTGACAGACAATTCCTAAATGGCAATAGGTGTTTCCTTCTCCAAATCTGTCACCAATCTCWTTWGCTATGTTTAGGCACTTTTTATGATACTCAATCGCCATTTGATATTTCCCCAATGAATGATAGGCAGCCCCTAATCGACAATAGGCGTTTTCTTCTTCCATTTTGTTTCCAATTTCTTGAGCAATGGTTAGTGTTCTTTTATAGTATTCAATGGTCTTGTGATATTCCTGTAATAATTGATAGCAGTTGCCTAATTGTTGTGTAGCCTCCATCTCAACAGCTYGATTGCCACTACCAGAAATGAGTGAAAGAATATAATCATAACAATCTATTGCCTTAGTTGCTTGAAAAACACTTTGATATAGATCGCCAAGTGTGCCATAAAGAAATATCTGCATGCTGGCGTCAAGTACAGAAGGAGCCATCTTCACACACTGCTCAAGTATCGAGATAAGTTCCTTTGTTTTTGAACTTTGGTGTTTAAGTTCAGCTTCATTACGAACATGAATTACATATGATACACACTCTTGATGATATCCATAGTGACTTTTATAACAATCAGTTCTAAAGAATGACATAGTAAAATTAAATATATATCGATGACCTGAAGGTTCTCGCACAATGAATAGATTGGGATGACTTTGTGCACCTTAAAATACACGCTAAAATATTTGTAGGACTAAGTAATTCGGTTTCAAAATAGCTGTAATGTCAATTCAGCGAAGACAAAGAATAGACTTGAATAAACACGACATTACATTGACGCACTCTAGTGAAAACTATTTAAAAATGAACAAATTTAGAAGAAAAACACTTACAGAAGTCAGATGTAAAACTTTGAATAACTGTTCTTCCGATTTTGTAGCTTGAAAACTGCAAGAAGCCTTGTTTACAATAGTGAAGTGCATTCTTCAGTTAATATTTGACATATGATTGAAGTAGTCATGCATGTTGCGTTATGTCCTCAAGCTATATTCGGACTATGACAACTTCAGGGGAGTGGGGTTGGGATTCGTGAGCAACATTTATAGAGGTCAAGCAAAATCACATAATATACAGTGGTAGAGAGGACAATTTTTCAGTTTTAAGCAATGCGTCAATTGGGAAATTGTGCTGAACAAGGTCAAACATACAGCATTGAAAAAAAAATTCAGAAAAGAGTTGATTCTGGACCCGGTTTTATAAACCACAATTGAGAATTTTCTCAGCAATTTCTGATTGGTCAAAGCCCATGGTAAATAAAAGTAATCATAAAGATCAATTACCATAAATTTTCTCATTTCTAGAGTAAATTATTCGATTAAAATTCTCACAATGACATTACATACATTCTTAGTGGCTGGCGTGACCAGTGGCTTGATGACTTACCTTTTACTTGTTTAGACTTGACAGTATCTTACATGGAATTTTATCACTTTTAATACACATTCAACAATGACTCGAGAAAACCGAGTGCGTAAACAAAACCGATCGACGTTCAAGAGATCAGAAAGAGAACTTTCACTTTGAGTTTACTGTATGAATATGTGTTATCTTTGACGTCAGTTCAACATAGAACCCAGAGTCTTCGCAAATAAGACCCTTCCCTACTCCCAGGGGGGGTACTCCCCTATATTCGCTATACGGGGACGTGCCGCCAGCTAGGGTATCGTTTTCAGCGATTTTACTCTGGAACTGGGTATCGATTTTAGCGATTTTACTCTGGAACAGGGTATCGCCTTTCAACGAATTTTCTCTGGAACAGGGTCAGGGTTGAATTCCGGAATTATTGATGCTGGATAAAAATTCATGGGGTAAAAATTCGGTCTACACGCAAGCTAGTGCAGGATTTTACTCTGGAACAGAGTATCGTTTTCATCGATTTTACTCTGGAACAGGGTATAGTTATCAGCGATTTCACTCTGGAACAGGGTCAGGGTTTTGAGGTCCCAGCGGCACACCCCCACCCAAGTTTCGGGGGAGTACCCCCCCCGGGTTCAATGCCTCGAAGGTCATTCAAACGGTATAAAATGTCAAACACACAAATACGAAGTATGAGACAAGAAGTACATATTTTGTGCCTTTCGATCA